TGGAAATAACTGCCGTCACGGTGCCAGGACCTCTAATTGTAATCTGCTCGGTTGAAAACAGGCCACAAATGCCTCCGAGCTGCACTTCCAAGAGCTGCGGGAGAGTGATGGACGTCCAAAATGAGCTGCTTTTGTACTTCACAGTGCAGCAAAGGTTTAGAAGTTGTGCTGGACAGCAGGGGAGGCTTTTGAAGAGAGAACTTAAACAAGAAACTGAGCTGATAGAGTAACTCTCTATTATGCAGAAAGTATCTTGAAATTTGGTAGAAGTTAGAGCCCAGGGTCATAAATCTGTCACTAGTAATGAAACACAGGATGTTGCAATAAATTGTTTGAAGGGGTCTCAGGGATGGAGTGGAAACATGCACCTTGATGTGAGCAGATGTGGGAACATCATTTTAAGACTGGACAAAGAAATAAAATGATTGTAACAATGTTTAATATAATTCAAGAAGAAGTGCATGTATATCAGGCCAGACTTTTTTTAATGAACCTGATCTGCCTGAATGTCTGCCTTCTAATTTAAAAGCTACTAAATTTATCCCTATCACCAAATAATCTTCTCTTTAGACAATGTAATCACGGGCCTTCATCTGTTACTATAGTAACTCTGTCAGGCCTCGCTATGTTTCTGTGCAACAGCTCCAGGAAATATGAAGCTTCTATTTATCCTTCCTGTTTTCTACTGTGGCAATTTCTGTCTGTAGAACAGTCATCATGAAACTCTCTGTGTCTCTGTATTCAATTAAATTACATTAACATTAAAATTAAGCAACGTTGAGCTGAGAAACTCTTACCCTAAACTAGGGGTCAGCAACCTTTAACACCCAAAGAGCCATTTGGACCCAGTTTCCACGCAAAAGAAAACACTTGGAGCTGCAAATACTTTTTGACATCTAAAATGAAGATAACATTGTATATGTTGTTTTTTACCTTTATGCTTTGTGTGAACAACTAAGGTGTGCTGCTTATGAAATCCATGAAGTGCTACAGAGAAAATTTAATTTTATTTATGTAATTAACACATTTTGAACTCTTAAAGAAATATAACAAAAGGAAAGACACCCAGCTGAACTAAAATGATCCATGTAGCAAACAAAAACTGTTGTGAGCTGCCACCCTTATATCGCCTTTGTGCTTTTGGAGCCTTGACCTGACTTTTAAAAAATAATTGGAAAAAAAAGCACTATGCTGCGGAAAAATGAAAAATAGATATTTGCAAAATTCTGCCTAGATATGTATTTTACCTGGTTAATGTGTGTGGCGGGGCGTGGTCTGCAGTGCCGCTGCAGGGGAGGCGGACGCACGTGAGCGGCACCCACTATCACGCCTCGCCGCCTTAACGTCTGTGCTATCTATGCTGTTGTGTTGGTATGTGTCGGGCTGCGAGCTGCAAAGCTACAGCTGGCTGTGTGTGTACAGCAGCCATGTGTGAAAAGTGGTCAATAAAGAGAAGCTGTAAAGCATGTTCATGCAAACATCGTCGGGTCTGCTGTGATATGTTTACAATGGGACTTCTGCTCCTGAACCTCTGCGCACAGCGTCTGCAAATCGGAGCTGTACGAAGTCACTTTCAGATTTACGCAGAACTGTAAGCTGTCATCTGTGAGGTGTGAGCGGTGTTTGTTTTTAACATAGTTCACGGTGGAGAACAGCTGCTGACATAATGTGGATCTGAAGATCCATAATTGGCCTACCTGGGGTTGAAAGTCGGCGGGTATACCGGCTTCCACGAGTGTGACGCTTATTTTGAGCAATGAAAAAAATAATAGAATATAATTAGATTTTTATATTTCAATATTACAATAATCTTCCAATTTAGAACTACAAGTTAAAAAAGAACTAACATAAATAAAATACACTTCAGCTAAATACTTCTAATTTATTTTCCCAAACCACGCGGAGCCGCAGTATAAGGACTAAAGAGCCGCATGCGGCCGACCCCTGCCCTAAACATTCAGAATATGTGATTTTTGTTTTATTAATTTGTTGTATTCATTTTTCCTTTTTTCAAAAATAGTTATGTAGGATTAGGGTTGCCAACTATTATTACATGGGCCTCAGAGTGTTTAGATGCGCTGCTATCCTTCTACAAATTCTGGTTTGTAACTTGATTTTAAACTAAGGGCATCTTTTATTGATTATAGGACATTTTTTGTTGCTACTGTCTAGATTTATCTTAAAATATGAGATTTTTATAAACTCAACACTTATGCTTGGTCTAAGGTAACACTTTCTTAGAAATGAAATCCACATTAAAAACCATTACACAAATGTGGCTTCACAGACGATTTAAAGGAGAATAACATCAAGCTGCAAGCTACAGTTAGCCAGCTAGCTTGGATTTTACTACTTTTTTTTTTAACCATGTAGGCTAATGTTAGCCAACATTAGCCAAAACAAAGCCAGGTTTATCTAATGAAGTCTGCGTGTTTAAACAGCAATTTTACCATCAGCAGAAACCTGTTATCAATATATGCGGGACTTCTAAATTATGGAGGGATCATTTGGTTTTTGTTAACTTAACATTAACGTAGCGAAACAGCAAGCATCTGCTGTTGGTAGGTTCCTCATGTCCATGTCAGCTTAAATAGGCATTACACTGATACTCTAGTGTGCTGTAAATACACTGTTCACTCAGCGGCTGACATACAAAACACTGAATTGAGCAACATCATATTACAGGACTGCTTATGTAAAAAAGCTTTTGGGTACCAGGTAAATTGAAAAAAGCTCAAAATTGAAGAAATAGAAACTAAGGGTGTTATCACACCTGCACTGATTACTCAGTTTAAATCAAACTCTTTCCCCCTTGGTGTAGTTTATTTGTGCAGATGTGAACACTCATTTCCCATTATGCAGCTCAGAGACTTTAAAACACTTAATTCCTACTCCACATTTCAAAAACACAATTACAAATTTAAGTTAACATATATATGTTTGCACTATTTTTGCACTAAGTGTGTTTCTTGGCTGTTACTGATATGCCTATAAATTTTTATTCTTCTGTGTAATGTATACTGAACAATTCAGCAAACTATCATTAAGAAGTGGGAGGTGAGACCCAGCAGAGCCCCAAGGTTCATTTACACCCAGTATGCTGTGCCTGCCAATTCATGACCAGCTTATGTGTGTACAAACTAAAATGGAAAATTGCATCAGATACCCAGATGGAAAGACATTTGTACATAGTAACAAAAGGAACTAAAAACAAAAAAAAATATAAATACAATAAAGAAATGTCAGCTCCCATGCTTTCTGCATGGAAGACGTCTGCTTTTCCAGATTTTTCAAACACAGGATGTGGAAGTAGTCTAAATGAAAAAAAGGATTAATGCAAAGACCAACCAACACCAAATTTAAAAAAGTAGCATAGGAATCCAAAAGCAGGAAATCGCAAACCCCAGGAAAACTCAAAGACCACAAACAGACAAACTGGCAAAGAAACATAGAAAGAGTGGACTATACACACAAGGGTGATTAGTGATGTGATACAGGTGAAGCGATCCACATCAGCCGAAACTAATGAGGGCTGGCTAGACACGAAAGAGGGGAAGGAATGAAGATAATATTTCTAAAAATCTAAGACATGCAGAACGCAAGTTGGAAGTAGAATCTGCTTATTGTGTGAAAGGGAGGTAATGTAAACCATACCACTGACAGAACAATGAGGAATGCCTCGGCCTAGAGTAGTTAGTAGACATGAGTCAACCGATATCAGCTGAATATCTGAGAATAAAACCCACACACAACCATAGACACACACACACACATCATATTTCCCACACACAAGCATTTGACTATCCTTGTGAAACCACTGAGATGCCCTTCAGTTATTGTGGACCTTATTAAATGATACACGCACTTTATACTTATTCAGGATCAAGATCAATCACCTTAGCATGGGGATGAACAGTAATTTCACAGATTAGCATCTGCCACCATCATATAATTCCCCTTGCCTTTTTTATCTATATTACGTAAACACTGTTCTTAAACACGGGTTCAAACACTGGTTGCTGTAGCTGCATCTGTCAATATACAGACTCCTGGGCTTACTGGCAGGTTGTCACTTTCTCCATGACCAGGCTCGTGACCGTTGGTTGACTTTCAGAATGGATTGTTTCCTGCCAGCTTGAGAGCATCTAATATTTCCAGTCTTTCACATTTCTAAAACCGTTTTTGATTCAGTCTCAGGGGGCCTTTGGACTCCTCCTGGGAGAAAATGGTCTGTATGGCATTTGGTTTTAGTCATTCTTTTTTCATTCTTACAGCATTTGTGACTCTTAGAGAACTTCCAAATGAGCGTCTGCTGTATTCTCTGCTCCTTTCTCGATGCATTTAGTTGACATTGTCCATGAGCATTTTGCCTCTTTTTTTTTACTTGCCAACAGGGAAGATGTGCAGACTAATATCACTTTCCTTGTTTTTATGGAATGGAATTACAATCTAAGGTAGCAGCCCAGTAAACACCAGTATGTGGGCCCCACATGGGCTATGGGGGTTCCAAGTGGGGATGGGCTTACAATGGGCATCCAATCTGGGACCCACCTGGGTTAGCCAAGTAGGACCCACTTGAGCCAGCCCAGATGGGCTATGTTCTATGGGCACCATATGGGTAACATATGGGAAGTTGCATGAACAGGCAACTGAGTTTAACGATCTTAGTTAAGTATAATTATTAGTCATGTGTAAGTATAAACATGAATTAAGATGAAATAACTGATAATAAATTATGCCAGAGGCAGCATATGTATATTTAATTAATAACAAAATATACATATAAAATATATTAATATAAGTGAAACACAAAGAACAGATGTGACTTAAAATTGTAAGACGCTTAATAAAATAAAACAAATGGTTTTACATTTGAGTGGGAAAAAAATTTCACTCCATGTAGGAGTGCTTTTCGAAATCTCGCGTTATTTCATGAAATATCACGAGGTTTTCTCAAACCCGTCCCCCCATTCTGGAACATTCTTCATTTCGCGCCCTTGGACAAAGCTGACAGTTAAGCTGGCAATTTTTGGATTAAGTTCATCTTTGAGCTACGGACTTATTTTCTGCACTAACGGTAAGAACTTTTTGACTTAATTTGAATCCCTAAGTATAAATGAAATGTTTACAAAGTTATGATGCTGCAAAGTAATGTATGGCACAAGTGCTGGCGAACTTTTTCCTAGCACTCACGCAAGGCTAAGCTAGTTTAAATTTTTAGGTAATGTTGGATTTAGCCAATTTTCACAGTTTGAAAGCATTGTCTGGTGTCCTGTATACTGCTTAACTAGCACCAAAATTAATGACTGCATGTACTTAACATCAAGTTGTACTTAAACATTATCTTGGTTTTTCTCTATGATTAGTATTAATAAAGGACTGTATTAGACCAATTTAACAAAGTTCTAGTTTTTTAGGAGGAATATGGGAGGGTATTTTCACTATCAGAGCAACCAAAATTGCTTTGGTGTTGTCTTTATTAGCTTCATTCCTCACGGCTAAGTGAGGAGGGTAGGCCATGGCCATGAGCAACTAGTCCCCAGCTTTTGCCCCTGTGTCAGGAGCATGCACAGCAGTCAGAGAGGCAGATCAGTGAGCACTCTATTTCTGTAGAAGACATAATCATCATTTTTCTTGCCATTGTTCTCATTTTTCCAGAAAAAGCAAAAAAGAAAATATAGGTATTCTTGATTTGTTTGGGTTTTTTTTTATACACACTTTAGTATGCAACTTTATATGTGTAGTTGTTTTAGTGAGAACTTCATCAGAAATACTGTACTGACTCAAGAATCTGCCTCTTACTGTTGTGCAAGCTCTGTACATGAGGGAAACTGATTATTTAAGCAGAACTGGTCGGTCTTGTTAGGGCCACAGTGCCAACTCCTTTTACTATGATTGCTGTGGCCCTCCTTTTTTCCTTTTTGTAATGTATATTTGGCTAGAATCTACACATTTATTTATTTATAAAAAAGAAAAGCAATTGCTCTTTGGATGTGGTCCTAAAGATCTGTGATCTTTAAGTGTTTGTCTGATGCCTTATTTGTGCATGCGCACTGTTATTTTAATTTGTTTCATTATGGCTTAAATTTGTTTGAATTTTGTGCATGCTCCTTTATCAGCCTTCCTGCATGGACAGCTTGTGTGGTTATTGGCCAGGAGGGTTTGCAATTATCTCAAAACTTGAGATGTTTGTTGTTTTGATTATGACTATGGCTACTTATAAATTGCATAGTCACACTATTACAATAATATGTTATTAATATCTGTATATTGGTTTGATTTTGCTGTTGGACAGTGGAGTGAATAGTAGCAAGGGTTATGTGTGATTTCTTTCTTTCTTTATTTTTACAGACTTTGACATAAGAAGCAGTGTATATTTCAAAATTCATTTCTATTTAAAATTTGATGCATGCCAGAAATATACTTGTAGGAATCTTTTTTTGAGTTTGTAACAATTAGAATTGTTACTTTATAAATTGATGTCAGGGTCTTTTATTGTAATACAACAGCTTTTAAGGCTGGTGTAAGCATCACAGGAGATGTCTTTATGCCAAAGTAACTGAGGATAAAACACAGAAAAAAGGAGATTTTCCTAGAGTGGCTTTTTAAATCAGATAGCCTTAGAAATATTCTGCAGTTGAACAAAAACTGAAGAAAACCATGAATCAATATATGAACATTACCTGATGCTGCTGAAGTAAAGCAGAGCAAAGTTACAGAAATTTTTTTTAGAGGTTTTATTAGTGAACAAGGTGAGTTTTTTGCAATTTGGCATAATTTGGCACAAAAAACAACTGACAACAGCGCTAAGCACAACTGTACACTGATGTATAATAAGCAAGGGAATAATGTGGAAAACATATTTCAGATGGGGAAACTTTTCTTGAAGTATACTACGAGAGAGCTGTGCAAGAAGTATGATGTTTTGTTTTGTTTTTGTTTGTTTTTTTTCAATCATGGTGGAAACAAGACAGGAAGAGGGAATTAATGACAGTATTTATCAAATGTGAAGCGTAGTTTGGATCTTCTTTTGCTGCTGGTTCAGTTAATTTTGAATTTTGATTGGAGAGTGATGAAACCTGGAGCTTCAGAATCTGTGAGCTGTCTTTCAGAAAGCAATGGAGCAATCTCAGAGGACAAAGAGCTCAGAAAGTTGTTGAACATTTTAGTTTCGTTTCACAGTAAAATGAGTCAGAGCATCATCAGGACTTAATATTGTACTCTGATTCTTTTGAGAATAAAACACTTGAGGAAGAGCACTACGATTGCGATGAACATGCTAAAGATTATGTTATCATGAAATTTCTGTTGACTAAAGGACTGATGAAACTTTGTGCTATGGCCAACAAAGAGCACCAGGTTGGGGTGTCACTTTGAACGAGCTGGGTGTGGGATATGGGGGTAATGCGCAAGCTTATTTATCTTTGGTTAAAAAGTCCCCGAAAATGCAGACAGTCTATGCAAATTCTAACTGATTTCAGCATTCATGGTTTCTGTCAGGCAATATCTTCCTTAAAGTTTTGCAAGGAAACCAAGGGCTCTCATTGAAATTAGCACGTAGAAAGCAACTGAATTGAGACAAGTTTTGCTTTACACAAGCCCAGTTCTACTGAATAATATACCAAGCCAAATGTATAGATACTTATACTGTTATCTGTATCTACAAGAATTCTTCTAAGTCCTGATTTGTATATTGATAACTGACTGTGATTATGCAGAGGATGTTTTGAAGCAGTTTGTGAAAGATTTTGCTTTGATTTATGGTCTTGACTTTGTTGGTTATAATATACATTCTTTAATACACCTAGCTCAAGATGTACGGAAGTTTGGCCCTTTAGACAGCATTTCCTGCTTCCCATTAGAAACCTTCCTTGGTGGAATTTATTTGGATTCTGGAAGCAGATTGGGAAAGGGAAGCGGAAAAGGAGGTAATTATGTTGAAAACACCTTAAAAGCAAAAATTTATTATTGAGATTATAAGAAAAAAAAAACCTGACAGTTTCTTTAGCAGACCCTTGCTGCTCATCAGGTTCAGATATGATTTCAAAATAGCGCTTTATAACTTTTTGACTTTTAAAAATCTGTTTTAGACTTTTTTTTTGATGCCATTATATACATTAATGTTTTTAGTTTGTAGGACTAACCAGTACCCTAAATTATGTGTTTGGTTTATTATTTATTTGTGTGTGTATGTTTGTTGTATTTTGTTTGTTTTAAGGCCAGTGATCCCGTCGAGCTCTGATGAGGATTGGGACAACACTGCGGAACAGCCAGAGACCTCACCACCATCAGCAATGGAGAATAGACATTCAAGTGAAACTCACTTCCTGAACATCACTCATCCATTTGTTCAGCCGCTACAACCCTCAACTCCTTCACCTGTGGTTTCACAAACAGTTCCAAGACAACTTCTACAAGCCACCAATACGAGCATGTTTGTACGTGTTCTAACCCTCCTGGAAGACATTAAGGACACTCAGAGGATCCACAGTCGAATGCTACAGTCTCTCCTTACACAACGTGATGGACCAGTTGCTGCAGTATTACCCGAGGGTGCTGTATTTCCCATCCGGACAGTAGCAGATGTGGCAGCATTGGAGCAAAAACTGGCAGACCCTGTCTTCCTAAAAGAAGTGGTAAATAATAATGATGTAATAACAATATTCAATGATTAATGCCTCAATCAGTCTGTGTTTCATGCTAGCAGTTATGATCAAGGAAAGTTGCTGTTTGTTCGAACATGGTCAGTGCAATGAAGGAGTGGGAGGAGAGCTGAACAAAAGTTGCTATTTTTGTTAATAAAATAACTTCTCCAAACATTACCTAGTTATAAGTTGTGCCATGCCAAACCCAAAACTTAAGAAATTACTTTTGGTGAATCATTTAGCTCTTTGCATTCACATCAGACAGTGTTTGACTTTGACACCTAACTCTTTCTCAGTCAATTAGCATCAATATTATAGAGCCTAATTACTGTGTAGCTGTGCTTGCTTTCTTTTAGGTGTGACTGATGGTACTACTGTCAGTAAAATTATTGTCCTTGCGTGTCCTAAGGTTGCTGTTGTGGCAGAGATCAGAGGGAGCACTGTTGATGAAGCCACAAGAAGAATGATGGCCTACATTATGGACAATGCTCTTTTTAGGCAATATAACTTCGTTGGGTGCCATGGAAAGCGGGAATTTCGAGGGCTTAAAGTTTTTGAAGTGCTATATGGTAAGTTCATTAGTTGTAAGATATTTTGTTGATGTTTGAATAACGGATGCTCACTACAGCTGCAGTCATTCAGAATCAACTTTTCTCTCCACCATTGTGAGCGGCTAGATTCGCAATAACAGAAGTTTGACTTGATTGACGCGGGAATGTTCCCAGTTAGCCTAGCGGTCAGCAAGGAGGCTTCAGCGCTGCATTATGGGATCTGTAGTTTGTATATTATTAGCGCCTCATATCGCCGGGCCATGCATAACAATAATAGTACATCTATATAAAATGATCTTGCGGGCCGGATATAAATGTATGCCGGGCCGGATGTGGCCCGCAGGCCTTGACTTTGACACGTGGTTTAGATAGACTGTACAAATTGTGGAGATGAAACCATCAGCTCATGTTGTTCTGGAGGTTGGTGGCTGCTGGCAGGAATGACCACGTTTCTTTCTGGCTTGTAGCATACTTGAAGAAGTCTCTCACTAAACAGTTTTTTGGTTGCTCACAGAATGTGAATAAGCTCCATGAACTCCAGAGCCAGCCTCTATTTTTTCCAGTGTAATTAGTAACACACTGATTTATCTGATGGCCCTATTTTTCATTTACATGAAAATTATTGGCGCCCGCCTGGCACACACCTCAAGAAGTGGAATCTGTTTTCTCCTTGGTAGATGTAGCCCTTGTTAGGGCTGCTCGATTATGGCAAAAATGATAATCACGATTATTTTCAATGAAATTGAGATCACGATTATTTCACGATATTTATTTAACAATAACAATGCATTGAATAATTGCTTTAAAGATTGTCAAAAAATAATATAAAATAATGTGCAAATTCTGATAACCGTGCAAATGTTTGCAATATAAAAAATAAATAAAAAAATGTAAACATTAATGTTTAGTGAACTTCAAACTACTGCATAATATTTATGCATACAAATAACCAAACATCAAGGCAAGCTGTGTAGCCACACAATGCACAATTGCATCAAACTGACATTGAGGTATGTCAACTAAAATTGCAGCCTGTACAAAAATAAAATTAAACACTGAAAGTAGTACCTTTTATAAGAAATAAATAAAAACTAGTAGGCCCGAGTCCCATACAATCTCAAAATGGCTCAACAAAACATGGTTCCTGCAACCTTTCAAAGGTTTTTAGCCAAAAACACCAGCCTATTGACATGATCAGGCTTCAGGGATGCACGCAGGCAGTTGACAACATTTCCACCAGTACTAAAGACCCTTTCTGATGAGGCACTTGTGGCTGGGATGCAAAGATATTTCTTTGCCAGGATGGAGAGTCGTGGGAAGAGGTTCTGTGATAGCTTCCACCACCCCAGTGGGTCTTCCTCTGTGTCCAGGGTCCCTGCCTGGAGGTAGGCCTGAAGCTCAAAAGCTATGGCCCGGTCCAGTTGAAGAGCATGTTCTGCACCTGGAGCTGTGCTGTGAGGGGCCTTAAAGAAGCTGCTTAGGCCCTTTTTCCTCTTCTTTTGGTTTGATGCACCATCATCAGCAACCTCCGTGTTACCAACGGGTGTCCCCATCACTGCAGCCTCCTTTAATGGGACAAATATAAAATGACAGCAACACAGAATGAGGAACCAGTTTTATCTGTCTCGGGTTTGGCATTCTAAAATACAATCCTTAAATAATTACTATAAATAATGATAGATAGATGTTTAGTATCTTTATAAATACCATGACGGACTTCATTTCCATTGTCAGTCTGGCTTTTATTGTCTCTTGGCTGACCTCGCTTACATATCTCAGTTTGAACCTTGGGTCCAGGACAGTGGCCATGTCAAGCAACTCTTGTGTTGGTGAGTCACCATACTTTTCATTTAGGTACTCCAGTATTCTCCTCTTGATGCATTTTGAGAGGTCTGTGTCATCATCTTGCTCAGCCAAGATTGAGTTGTTAAATAGGTGGAGTGTTGGTTTTATTAAAGACACACTCACTAGGGCTGGGTATCGTCACTGATTTCTAGAATCGATTCAATTCCGATTCACAAGGTCCCGAATCGATTCGATCCACGATTCGATTTAATTCGATTCGATTCGATTCAATTTAAATCTGGGAAATTTTGACAGTCAGAAATATAATTCAGATCAGTACATTTACATATTTTTGTATCTATAAAAAGGAAGCTGACACTCGCAAGACTTTATCCAAGGTGTGAGCATCACAGCAGATGCCTTTGTGTCAAAGTAGCTGAAGATAAAACACAGAAAAACATGAAGGTGATTTTCCTGGCCTGGGATTTTATAAAAAATATTTTGCAGTACATCAAAAACCAAAGAAAACCATTAATTAATGAACATTACCTCTGACGTTACAGCGGTTTTATTAGAGACACGGCTAAGCATTTTGCATTTTGAATAATTTTAAAAAGTTTAAATTTGTTCAGTATTGAACAGCAGAAATAGACTTGTGCGTAACAAGCAAGCGAATAATGAAGAAAGCAAAACTGTTCGAGAGAGAGAAAGAGAGAGGGTGAGGGAGAGAGGGAGAGAGAGAGAGGGAGAGGGAGAGAGAGAGAGCTGCGCATCGCAATGGAAGCAAAACAGTAAAAGAATTCATGACGATGTTTATGTGAAGCGTTTGGATCTTCTTTTGCTGCTGGTTCGGTCAATATTGTTTGGAGAGAGATCAAACTAACAGCTTTAGAATCAGCGCATAAAGGGCGTGAACACAAAGCGCGGACCCGGATCAGCGAGCTGTCGGCTTTCACTTTCAGCCCCGACTGTGAGAAAGGCGACATCTAACTGATTCTGATCCGCGGGTCACGCCCTGTGTTTAAGTCTATGTGAAGAATCCCTGTACCTGCTCTCATTTACTGTTTGGTGGTTCTTGAAATTTTGTGAGATGTCACCAGAGATTCTGGCATTTCGGACAAAATAAATTTATATTAAAAAATCGATTCAGGATTTTAATGAATCGATTTTACGTTATCCAAGCCAGAATCGATTTTAATCGATGAATCGATTATAAAAACCCACCCCTAACACTCACATATTTCTCTCCAGAAAGTGCATCAGTGAATTCAACCAGAGGTCCCAAGGTCTTGTTGATGGCCTCAAGGACATCAATGTCCTGCCATGAGGGGATGAGGTGCCTGGTTCCTTTGTCTTGGGAGAGGACATGGGCAATGGCCTTCTGCTGCTCAAGGACTCTGGAAACCATGGCCTGCCTAGATCCCCATCTGGTTGGACATTCAGTCTTTAAGGAGTGGTCTGGCAGTTTGAGGTCTATCTGTGCCTTTTTCAGCTCTCTCTTTTTTTTCCAACTGAATGAAAAGGTGCTGACCACTTTTTTGGGGCAGTCTGAGGTACACCTGTGCACTACTCATGATGTCAGATCAGCATCCTGATGTGGCACACCTGTGAGGTGGGATGGATTATCTCAATATGGCAGATGTGCCCACTACCACACATTTGGACTGATTTGTGACCACTGTTTGGGAGGGATGGTTATATTGTGTATCTGGACTGAATTTTAGGTCTCTACGTCCATCCCATGGGGAATGGGAGCAGTAACAAAGGTGTTGCGTTTATATTTTTGTTGAGTGTATATTGCAGATATCACTATCTGCAATAAAAATCTATCAGGGGCGCATACAAGGACTTCGGTTTCCCCCTCGTTGAGTTGGAGGAAATTTGCAGCCATCCAACGTTTGATCAAATCTAAGCAATCATTCAGACGCTGAAGCTTAGATAAATCCTTGGGGATAAAAGAAATGTACAACTGAATATCATCAGCATAACAGTGATAAGAAATGAAGAAGAGCCCATTGTATGCTGGAGGGGGAGAAGATATATTAAAAACAATAAAGGCCCCAAAACTGACCCTTGAGGGACACCATAAGTAAGGGAAGTAGAGGATGACCTAAAATTGGAGACTGCCACAGAAAAAGGATTGGTGATGGAGATAAGAGGAGAACCACTCTAATGCAGTTCCAGATACACCAACCCAATTTTTCAGCCTTTCAATGAGGATGTGATGGTCAACTGTGTCGAAAGCTGATGTGAGGTCCAACATGAGTAGAACAGAGCATTTTCCTGCATCATTATTCATCAAGATATCACTTGAGACCCTAAGAAGAGCTGTCTCTGTGCAGTGAAATCAACAAAAACCGGACTGAAACTTATCGTAAATGCCATGTTTATCTAGAGCTGGATGTATCTGTATGTATCCTCTCTTAACAAAGTTAAAAACAATAACATAGTGATCAGAAATAAAAATGTCTTCAACGCAAATAATCTCAAATCATGCTTTTCTGACAAAACCCTGACTTGAACAAAAAGGCGTCTCTTATTTGTTTTAAACCATAGAACGTCATTGTGTGTGTTGTCTCAGAGTGATTTCAGAGGGGACAGTCATATGCCGGACAGGGAGGTCACTGGATCCCACGGCGTCTGGAGGAAGACTGAGTAGGTCATTACTGTGGAGGTTGAGGCTGCCAGAAACACTTGTTCCGAACCCACAGATGAAAGCCAACCCAGTAATGATAAACAAATTAGGCTAGGCTACACAGAGATGGAACCTGCAGATGTGGTTGCTGTCCGCTTCCAGACATGAAAGCTGCTGTGTCGTCCAGATTGAATTACATTACTCGTTTACATGGCAGCGCCCTTTTCATTGGGGAGGCAGACACAAGATCCACTTTATGAGCTCTGTCCTGTACATTGAGAGCAGATGCTATGCAATGTGAATTTTACACACCTCAGTGATTCCTTAAGCCCTCGATCAGCAGACTGCTCAGATTTCTGCTGCAGCTTGCATCCACGATCAGTCCTATGGTGTGAAAACAGGTGCTTGAATCATCCTTGTGATTGTCCACTAACACTAAATTGCCAGTGAAAACAAAAGTTACATAAATAAAGAAAAGTAAAGAAAATTACGGTCTCACACACGAGTCAAACCCTAGTTTCTAAATGATGTTAGTAATAGGAAATTCTATCTTTAAAAAAAAAACAATTACACCACTTTGTCAGCCTCGCTGGCGTCAAGAATCATTAGTATTACTCCTATGCTAAAGCTTTAGTAGAAGTTGCACATCAGTTGGTGTCCCCGCCCCTTATCCCCCTTAAAATCCTAACTTGAAGATGCAGAATTTGCTCTGTGCTGCAGTTGTAAGACCGGCACTCGAATCCTTCCTTAAACCCTCTCCCCAGTCCCTACTGACATTGTCGTGATGTTACTGCTTTCTCACTGCAGTCATGCAATTTATTCTGTAAAAAGCTCTTAATGTTGTGCTTTTATTCCCCTTGTTTTTTAGTGTATTGCATTTATAAAATGAGGTTGCTGTTGTAAAGTGTGTGACTTTGGGTTATCCTTTAAGTGTGTGAGCTCTCATAAAAAGAAAAAAGAAATTTGTGGGATTAAAATATAATTACATTTTATCATAAGAATCAAGAATCGCACTAACTGTACCATGACATAAAACATGTGGCATTTTACCCAGCTAACTATTTTAATTGGAATTATGTTTTGTAAAGTATATTTTTTGTTTTTATTTTTTGTTTTTGAAGGCTCTGATAGGATGAATTTCTTAGACAACCAAGAAATTGAGGCACTAGTGACTAACACTGTATTTTAAGCGAAAGCATAATTCTGGCAACCACTACCAATCAGCAATCAGAAAACAAAAATAAAAATAATGATGAGGAAAATGCAAATAGTTCATCCAATCTGGGAATCACATCAGCTTTAAGTAAATCATGCTAGCTCACTGCATGTGACAATCCCACCACCTCCTAACAACAGTATGTTGCTGTCATTAGAAGGACCACATTGTGTGATTATTTCACCAAGTGTCTGAATAAAATTTGACCAACTAATTTAGTTTGTGTGGCTATTTCTGTGTGTATAGATTAATAAAATGATTAGGTTCCATTCAGTAATCCAAATCAAGTGAGTAAACTTTGGAAATAAATCAAGAGAGGATACATACACATAATTCGGTAGTAGAAGTCATGAGCCGAATCCGACAGGCCATTGCATGAACTCCTCTGGGGAGTTAGCTTGCAGCACATGTTCAAATTGAATGTTCTGGGTCTTATTATGCTGCAGCGAGATTCAAATCCACAACTGCGATGTTTTTGTTAAGGAAGAAAGCTAAATGTTGTAAAATATGTGAATGAAGTTATTACCGGGCTGGATAGCAGACTGTTAGCAAGCTGGCAGCTAAAGAAACCTGGCTACCTTTCCAATATGGCAGCTGATACAAGGTCAAATATCAAGATTATGTGTTTTTGCCTAAGAAAATTTGGTTAACAGCATTTATTTTTTCTGTTAATATTTTTTATATAGGCCAGCCTGTATCTTTATGATGTTAATAATAATGGATTGGATTTATATAGCGCTTTTCAAGGCACCCAAAGCGCGTTACAATGCCACTATTCATTCACTCTCACATTCATACACTGGTGGAGGCAAGCTACAGTTGTAGCCACAGCTGCCCTGGGGCAGACTGACAGAAGCGAGGCTGCCATATCGCGCCATCGGCCCCTCTGGCCAAGACCAGTAGGCAAGTAGGGTAAAGTGTCTTGCCCAGGGACACAACGACCAGGACAGAGAGCCCTGGGATCGAACCGGCGACCTTCCGGTTACAGATGCGATTCCCAACCCCCTGAGCCACGGTCGCCCGTCTAGCAGTTGTTAAGACTGCTAGATGAGCTGTTAGTGACACTGAGTTAGTCATGACTATGCTTTCTGTGTTTTTTCTCTCCCCTTTTGGTATCCTGTTCCTGCTGGATGAACCACTTCATGATAATCCTGATCTGATGACTCCGCTGTGCTATCCTGCCTGGTAGATTCTCCTTGCTGCAGGTGTATGCTTCTGCCAGCTGGATGCTGTTACTGGATAGTACACCGTTCCAATGGAGCGGTAGGAACAAATTGAAACACACTAAAAGAAAAGGGTTATTGTTTAAAATTGTGTTTTAATAAATGTGTTAATGTTAATTAAGTGTTCATTGTGTGCTGGAGGTCCTACTGGTCCTATGGTGGAGCAGCTATTACCTCTCCTTTAAGAAACTAGCCTCTGATGGGATACAGATATTTGGGACACATTTCAATTCTTGTAAGGGTTTAAAAAATACACAAACTTGGAAGAGTTGGCTGGATTTGTACAAAATGAGAAGGCTGGCAATGGAAAGATGCAATTTGATTGTTACATGTTTAACCCTTTAAAGTCGGTCGGAGCAGGCACGCTCTGTTTTGCGTAACTATTTTGAAATCCCTGTAGAACCGGGAACCGCGTAAGCTAGCACAATAATTTTTTTTGCATATGAAACCAGAGTTGTACTTAAATCTTATGCCATCAGCTTGTCCTAGGTCACGGTTTCCTTCCACATATAGCTTTGCAAAAATTGCATAAAAAGCGCTTGCAGTAACAAAAACATAATATTCTAGAAACACGCTTTGCCGATCCGATCAGCTGTTCGTATTCCAGATGTATTTAATTTGCAATCAAGATGGCAGAGCTGTAATCGTGCTCTAAAATTATATATTGTAATAGGAAAATTGTAAAGTTACTTAACCTGTGAGTCCTTGGTAAAGACATTCTCTTCAAAGTGAACGCTGCAAAGATGAGATGCAAGTTTCAAATACAGTACATTTCAAGTACATCCTTCTTATGTTAGCTAGCCACTAGTTCAGTCTCTGTGCTACACCATCACCTACAGGACAACTTCCAAAAAAAACCAAAACAATAACAACAAAGAATAAAAAAACAAAACATGTAGTTAAGATGATGGTTTTTAATTAGCTGCTGTAAAACAATGTAATAACAATAAATAAATGCAACATGACATTAACTGCTTTTTAGGTAAGTACTTTATATACTTTTGGAGAACTGTTAGATCATCCATGTTTTCTACAGTCATTGGTTTGCTGGACAAAGTGGCCCACCCGAGGGGTCCCCTGCCATCAACCAGCAAGCCACCCTGGCTGAGGATCATCTGGTTGCCAGGGCAGAAGGAGCAGAGCATGCCAGGCAGTCATGGAGGTACAGCATTCTAATAAGGTGTCAAGGGGGTATACACCAGGCTTTGGTGGACACGGGCTGCGCACAGCTCCTGGTTCACCAAACCCCGCTTTGCCCCGGGACATTATTGGTGTTGGAGTGGGTGGAGGTTAAATGTGTACATGGGGGCATTCACAGACAAAACACATGGAATAAAGGCTGCAGTCAGTTTGTACCTGTGGCGTCCTCTAATTTTAGGAACACGTTGGCAGGGATTTAATAAACTTTTGGGGCAGTATGTGGGGTTCTGATCACGATATTAAGTAGTGTGTAGTGTCTGCGTGGCGCTCTGCGGTGATGCAGGGTTGTCCGACGCTGATTCCGATGATTCGCCCCACAGAAGATTTTCCACTGGTGACACCCTACGCTCAGCCTTTGACAAAGTGATAGAAATTGATGATCACTTCCTGCTGCGTGGACCTACCCTCGCTTTGTACTATTGAATGATCCTAACAGAAAAAAAAGAGTTAATAAAAAAGTGTTATATTTTATCTCAGATAAACTAGTCAGTGTTTATTAGTGTTTGCTCAACTAGAAGTCTTCATAGTAGCATCCACACATCAAGTCTTTAAACAAATAATGAAAGGATAATGAAAGAAAGTTTAATGTGAAATTACTGAATTATATGAAATATTATGGCTTTGTCTGCCAGAGTGTTTTTCTTTAAACTACTTGGGACACTACCTTTTAGTGATGTCACTAAAAGGCAAGGTTCTAATGTTGTGTTGCCATAGTCTCCGGAGTTTACTTTTAAAGCTCACTTACAGAACTGACTTATACAGCTTAGTTAGAAAAGTCAAGCATCCAGACATTTGAAGGACTATTCACTCATTAAGGTGACATTTTCTATTTTAAAAGTTCTCAAAAAATTAAGATGAAAAGGGAAACAAGAAAAGTTACGACTGAGGCAGATAAGAAAGATCCAGGAGATCAAAGTAAGTAAAAAAAAAAAATCCCCCAAATAACAGAATGTACATTTCTAACAATGTTGAGGCTCTGTGTATAAAACGATTCATTTTTAGAGGATTTAAATCCTGGTTTTGATTGAAACTAACCTAAGTGCAACATGTCTAATCAAAGAAAGGTTACTGGGGCACTTTGTCTTTTGGTAAAATAATGTGACAAGTTTATTCTTGGACTGAGCAGTGAAAACAGAGCAACAAGTGTCATCAGTATCTAGACTTAGTAGACCTAGTATGGACTCGTGTTGGTGCGTTTTTTATCAAAAGGATAAACTTGTTATTATATTGTAAGCAATACTAATTTAAAATTCAATGACATCAAAATCCTTCTAGTCCTGATGTCGAGCGCTCTTTTTCACTAATGTGTTGTTGTTGTTGTTGTTTATAGATTGTAAGAGCAGGATGGCTAAAAGAAAGGCCAGTCCTGAAAAAACGACCCCCATAAAAAGAAGGAGGGTCTCTGAGCAGGCTGGTCCTTCCACCAGCTCAGATGCTCATGTGGTCAGGGGAGTCAAGCGAAAGGTCCAACAAGATGAAGCGGGGACAGCCAACACAGCAAAGAAGCGTAAACTTCTTGACCATGTGAGCGGTGACAAGGGGCAGGCATCTTCCTGGTTGGACACTGGTAAAGGTAGGCTAATTAGTTGAGTGAGAGGTAGATTAAGTGTACATCTGGTTGCTAGTTTGAAGATATTAGTGTTTGGGAGATATTTGTGTCTATTATCTAATAAGCTGACGTGCTTTTGGTGTTTTCCACATCTGCAGACTGCAGCATAGAGATTTCAGAGAGCTGCAGTAAAAACAAAAAGACTGGCAAAAGGAAAGCTGCGGGAGACACCAGGGACCCACCTAAGAAAAAGAAAGTGGACCAGGACAAAACCAAAACTGTTGCCAAAAAGTCAGTGGCTGAACAGAAACGTGAGTAGCAAGCAGCTTGGCTTTTATATTCAGGTGAAGAGCAAAATGAACATTTAGGGTACAGCAGAGAGTAATTTGTGTGACAGCTGTAGTAAAACCCAATTTGTGTTTGTCTGTTTAGGTGACTTCCAAGCGAGATACGTGGAGGAGCACCGGCTTGGAGAAGGAGGATGCGGAGCAGTGTTTGCTGGCTACCGCATAAAGGATCATTTACCAGTAAGTGTTCAGATGGTGATAGTAAGACAGGCAGTAACGCAGATAAGGGATAATATCGTAAGCTGTTTTACACCTTTAATTATGTCATACTGAGGAAATGCTCATCAATGCCCTGTGTCTTTTAGGTGGCCATCAAACACATCCCAAAGGGGAACGTGTACTGCAAAGTGAAGGTAAATATGCAAAACTTGAATTGCTTTTACATTAGTGGATTGCATGCAGCGTTCACCTGTGGAACGTCTGTGCCTCATCATCCACTTTGTTGAAATATTTCAGGATGATAACGGGAAGAATGTGTCAGTGGAAGTTGCCATCATGCTGAAGCTTGCAGCTGAAGCAGATGGATCAGTGGAAACATCAGCCCCAGTGTCTCTGTTGGAGTGGTTTGACTTTGGCAGAGAGCTGATCCTGGTGATGGAGAGACCTGTCCCCGCTGTGGACCTGGATAAATACATAGAAGAAAATGGAGGATTTTTGCCAGAGGACAAGGCCAAGGCAAGTTGACTTGCCTTAGAAGAGTCTTAGACTCTACATCATTCAATCAAAGCACAGAGTGTTAGAGAAACATTAACCCATTGATTGATTATTGTCTTTTTCATCGTTTCCAGGTAGGGCTGGGCTATATCATACCATTCACGGTAATACCGGGGTAATTTTGGGCAACGATAGGAAAATGAAATATCACGATAGAATATGGGTAAAACGCGCATGCGCAGTGCCCTTGTTTACATACGCACATGGCGGTGACGCAGAAAGAGAAGAGCAAAAGTGGATCGTTGAATGAAACGGATGAACCAGAACTGGTTTGTAAAAATGCTGCAACTTTAGTGGTGTGGAACTGGTTTAGCTTTTGTCCGTCAGATACACAACAAAGCACAATTTTTGGTAGCGAATGCTAGCGGGGCGTCGTTATTACCGTGTTGTTTGGAAAATACGGCACACTTAAAATCAATCCTTTGATTTTTCTGAAACTCGACAGTGCCCCTTATAATCCCGTGTGACTTATTGATGAATTCTGGTTGTGTTTACTGACCTCAAAACGATTTTATGTACACGGCAACTTTGCTAAGCTACAAAGCTGCACCGCTCGATGGATTGTCGGAGCATTACGGCTATTGTAGGCAGGCGCCTCGCGGAGTGATACGTACTGCACCTCAACATTATATTACCGTATTGTGTGTATAACCTCTTTTTAAGTTTTGTGGATATTATACATGGTTATGCTGAGGATATGTCGGCCAATTTCCACTGGAAATGCCTTTTGGTTAAACTGTCAGCAAGGAATTTGCACTGTTACATTTTTATATAACTTTAATGGACATAAAAAAACAGCTGCTTGTTTAAGTGAAAATACATTGATGGGGTTTTTTGCACTAATAAGGTTGTGGAGTTGTAAAGTATTTTGTCTAGTGTCAATTATATCGTCAGTTATATCGTTATCGCAACTTTTCAAATGTATATCTTGATAAATATTTTTGGTCATATCGCCCTGCTCTATTTCCAGGTCATTCTGAAGCAGCTGGTTGATGCTGCGAAGCACCTGGAGGATAAACACATCTTTCACCGGGACATCAAGAGTGAGAACATTCTAATTGAGACCGGCTCAGATGTACCGCGTGTTCGTATCATCGACTTTGGACTGAGCTGCTTTGTTAAGGAGCAGTCGCAGTACCGCGTCTTCTATGGTAACATATTCTGCTCTTGCTCTTCACAGATGTCACAATTTTCGCCTTTTGTTTTAGAAGAAATTGCAATTGTCTCTGTTTATTAGGTACAGAAATTTACTCCCCTCCCGAGTGGTACGGGCGCAGTTGCTACAGGTGTGGACCCACCACGGTATGGCAAATGGGAGTGGTTCTGTACGAAGCGCTTCATGCGGGGGACTTTAACACCACGAGCTTCCTCAAAAAGCGCCTGAAATTCAAAAGACATCTGTCCAAAAGTAAGAAAACGTCACACTTCAAGACTGACTGATGGCTTGGACCACTGGAACTATCATCTTCATGTTTTTTCTCTTTCCTTTCTTTCCAGACTGCCGGGATTTCTTGGACGCGTGTTTAACCAAAGTCCCGGAGACGCGGCCAACGCTGGAGGAGCTACAGCATCACACGTGGCTGAGATAAGCATATCACACACACACACAAACACACACAATTCAGACGTTATCATTTATGTGTGATGTATGAATTACCTTGCTTTTTTTCAGGAAATAATTTTTTTAATTGGCCCACTTTAAATTTCAGTGTTTTGGAATTCCTGTAACCCCCCCAGCCATCCCAGGAAAGGGGATCTCTCTTTGAATGGGCTTTCCCGAGGTTTCTTCCCGTCAATCTGGCCCCCCCAGGGGAGTTTTTCCTCGTCTTCATAGAGAGCTTGGGCTGGGTCAGGAGCTCCATCAAAACTGTCTTTATTTAATTACTCTAATGTAATCATATACTTTAAAGTAATCAAATAAAAGACAGTAAAAATCTGAAGACTTGAAGTAAACTTCCATTAAAATAAAACTTGTTTAATTCATCTTTGCTGAGGATACTGTGTTATTACTATTTCAAGGATTGTATTTTACCTACGATGTGTTTTGAAAAGTAAGCAAATTAAAAGGTAAATCAGGTTCAGGTATATACAAAAAAGTCACGCTGCCACTGCTCTGAAGACTTGCATCTGTTGCCCTAACCCCCAACCAGTCTTGACAGATTCTAGCAGAGGTTGCAGCAGTTTTTCCTTCCCACTGTTGCTGATTGTTTGCTCATAGTGGGCTGTCTGATTGGTGGGATTTAGGGTTGCCAACCGTCCCTTAAAATACGGAATCGTCCCGTATTTAGAAACAAAAGCACACGTCCCGTATTGAGCTAATAAGGGACGCACTTTGTCCCGTAATACAGTGAGAATCAAAAGTAGTCTATAAATGTTAATGGAATTAACGCTTTGTTGGAAAGCATAATTCCCAGCCCCTCTCCTGCTTTGTGACCAATGAGCTGACAGCACACTTATGACAATTCGAGTATGACAATTCAGATTGCCGCTCATCTCATTGGTCGATGAAAGGTCGCTTACGGAGAAAATACCGGAAGACAACAGATGACCACAACAAGAAGCATGGCCAACAGGGAAACAAACGCCGACACTGCGGTGCAAGTCTCGGACGACAGTACACCTAAAGCTGGGCAGACACTGTGCGATTTTCAGTCACGTTATTCAGCTCCTGCTCAAACTGCACGATTGACTCGCAGGGGTTAGAAGTTGGTAGGTCACGATGCAGGGTCTCACACTATACGGCCCGATGCTCTGATGCGACCTGAGTGCTCACACTGTGCCTCCATAACATGAAGGTTATAACAGAAAATCTGTCGCTCTCTCTCTCTCTGTCTTTCACTCACACAGACACACCACCACCATCAACTTTGCTAAATTGCTAATGAAAAACATGATCAGGCAGCTGTGAATGAGCAGCAGTGTAGATCCAACTATTTTCACGGTTGTTGTGGTCGTGATAATTTTGTGATGCCACATCGAAAAGGCTCGGATGAGCTTTCCAAAGTTCTACAAGTTGTGCCTCCATCACTTGTGTCCAGATCACACGCTGCACTGCCGTGCTGCGCAGTCTTTTTCACCGACGTTTACGTGTTTGCGCGTGAGCAGTGTGAGCGGCTCACGAGCGATTGATGATCGGGAGCTGCTCGAGGTGTTAATCGCTTCTCGTTACCCCACGTATACTACACGATGCACGATGAAGGCCAAAATCGGGCCGATCGCCAAAACGGTCGCACGACTCAAAAATCGGCTCAAAATGGGCCAAAAATCGCACAGTGTAAGCCCAGCATTAGAGCAGCAATGTTTGTTCGCTCAGAGAAAGAAAAATAGGCTGCAAAAGTACTGGGAGGAATGGGAAAAGGGAAACACCTGGCTGGGAAAATACACCATAACACCTTTAAAGCGCACTGCACTGTGTGCCGGCGCACTTTTTCCATAGGCATGCTTCTAGTGGTGGGCACACGAAGAACATGAGGGGCGTGAAAGCTCGGGGAACCCTTAACCAATTTCTTGTCCACCAGGCCACGGCAGAAGCAGATATGGTATGTAAACACTGGTTTGTTGTTTAAACCCTCTGGTTAAGGTTAATATGGGCATGTGCAGTGAATATCAGCGCTATGTGGCCAGAAGTGTGATAATATAACTTATTTTGTGTAATAAACAACTGCAAGGATAGATGATTACAACAAATAGATCACTAATACATAAAAGTAATACATAGATGAATAATGATGATGAGTTATGATGCGTAATCATGGGAACAAGTGGGTTTACAAACCTGATTAGCTTTAGAAAAGCTGAAATAATACCTCAACTGAAGCCAGTTGTACTAAATGCACTAAATGTGCACAGTTACAAGAATGATTTTGTTCTATTGTTTTCTATTAATTTATATAATTTTAAGTTAAGCAGGACAGAGTTCTTTTAAAGAAAGATTTACTTATATCTTCAAAAGCTAAGCATGACAGGCTTCTGTTTAAGAAAGAGACCTGTTTTACTGTGTTAATGTTGTCATTTTGAGCTAAAAATAAATGGCTAAATGATCATTTGTTTCCCATATGGTCATATCACAAAGAATATGCATCTGCTTAAATCAAATTCAAGTCAAATGGTTAAAAAATAATTTCACACACAAAAAAAAAGAGCTACCACACTGGGAAGGGTGAAGACAACTGGGTTGCCCGGCCCTGGCCACGAGGTGTCCCTTATTTATTTTTCAGGGAGTTGGCAACCCTAGTGGGATTCTTTCTCTAATATGGTGGAATCTCTACCTTACGATGTAAAGCGACGGATGTGATTTGATGCTATAGTTACGATTGAATTTATTTGTTAATCGAGTCTGCAGAGGGCGGCGCGTGAACAACGCGAGGCTCAGTGTCTCTCCAGAATCTGCTATTTAGCGGTTTTTTATCTACTTTTAACCGGATTATTCGTCCAGAATTGCTGTGCGTTGCTGACCTACAGCAGACAAGAGCTTCTGGACATCTGGAGTCACAACTCCAACAGTTTTATCGCCGATCTCCGACTCATCCCAGAGATCTCCAGAACACCGGAGGCTGCCCACTCTCCCCGGCTGGGCGGAAGTGCACGCAGACGGCGCCGAGATCGTAAACAAAGGCGAGGTAGGCGCGGAGGGCTACGGGCTAAGCTAAAGCTAACACCACACCGGCTGCCTTTACCCAGTATTTTTCTCGCCAATGTCCGTTCTCTGGCAAACAAAATGGATGAGATACGGCTCTCCATCACTAACAACAGACGGATTATGGACTCAAATGTCATGTTTTTCACCGAAACATGGCTGAACAACAGCTGCCCGGACAATGCTATCGAGTTAGCAGGACGCCACACACACCGAGCCGACAGGCTAGCAGATGACTCCGGCAAGACCAGAGGTGGAGGTTTGTGCATTTATATTAACAATGCTTGGTGCATGAACTCCACTACTACTGAGAGTCACTGCTCACCTAATGCGGAGTTTTTAATGGTCAAATGCAGACCTTATTATCTCCCCAGAGAATTCACTTCGATCATACTCACTGCCGTGTATATACCCCCCGACGCTAATGCTAGGTTGGCCATGAAAGAACTTTCTGCAGCCATTAACAAACACCAGAATAAACACCCCGAGGCTGCTTTTATTGTTGCTGGCGACTTCAACCACACCAACTTAAAGACAGTCCTCCCCAGATTCCACCAACATGTCTCCTGCCACACCAGAGGAGACAAGACTTTAGACCATGTGTATTCCAACCTGGCTGGAGCCTACAAAGCCACACCCCTCCCCCACATTGGACAATCGGACCATCTCTCCCTGTTCCTCACACCTAGGTATTCACCACTCATCCAACGTGTGAAACCTGCTGTGAGGACAATTAAAGTGTGGCCAGAGGGGACAGACGCAGTGCTCCAGGACAGATTTAAAAACACAGACTGGAATATGTTCACCCACACAGACCTGGACCAGTACGCCTCATCTGTACTGGATTACATCTCCAAAACCACAGACAGTGTCACCACCCAGAAACGGATCACCATGTACCCCAACCAGAAGCCTTGGATGAACCGGGATGTTCGTCTCCTCCTGAAGGCCCGCAACACTGCCTTTAGGTCAGGAGATGCACACGCCTACAGTACAGCCAGGGCTAATCTAAAGAAGGGCATCAAAAAAGCCAAACACCATTACAAAAAGAAGGTAGAAGAACACTTCTCCAACTCCAACCCCCGACGCATGTGGCAAGGACTCCAGACCATCACAGACTACAGGACCACCAAACCCTCCCCCGCATCCTCTGATGTCTCCTTCCTCAACGAGCTCAACAACTTTTTATGCTCGTTTTGAGCGAGGGAACCCCACAACCACAACCAAAGCAGACATGACGCCAGACCACCAACCTATGACTCTCTCCCCCACCGATGTAGGAGCGGTGCTGAGCAGGATCAATGTCCACAAGGCTGCAGGCCCTGATGGCATCCCCGGGCGTGTTCTCAGAGCGTGTTCTGGGGAGCTTGCAGGAGTGCTCACAGACATATTCAATCTGTCCTTGGCCCACGCTGTGGTACCGGCCTGCTTCAAATCCACCTCCATCGTCCCGATACCCAAAAACTCCAACCCATCTTGCCTCAATGATTACCGCCCAGTAGCACTCACCCCCATCATCACTAAGTGCTTAGAGCGACTGGTCCTAGCACACTTCAAATCCTGTCTCCCCCCCACCCTGGACCCCCACCAATTCGCATACCGCCGGAACAGGAGCACAGAGGATGCAGTCTCCATCGCAATGCACTCTGTCCTCTCACACCTGGACAACAACAACACCTACGCCAGAATGCTGTTTATAGACTTCAGTTCAGCATTCAATACAATCCACCCCTCACAACTCATCAGGAAACTGACAGACCTGGGTATCAGTTCCCTCATCTGCAAATGGTTACTGGACTTCCTGACCAACCGCCCCCAACATGTCCGGCTGGATAACCGCTGCTCATCTACCATCACAATGAACACCGGTGTACCACAAGGCTGTGTGATGAGCCCTTTCCTCTACTCCCTCTTCACCCACGACTGCAGACCTGCTGATGGTTCCAACACCATCATTAAGTTTGCAGATGACACCACGGTGATTGGCCTCATCAGTGACAACGATGAGGCCGCCTACAGGGAGGAGGTGGATCGTCTGGCTGAGTGGTGCGACAGAAACAACCTGCTGCTTAACACCGAGAAGACCAAGGAGCTCATCGTGGACTACAGGAGGAATGCTGACCCACATCCACCCATCCACATTAAGGGGACGGCTGTGGAGCGTGTGAGCAGCTTCAAGTTCCTGGGAGTCCACATCTCCGAGGATCTCACCTGGACGACCAACTGCTCCAAGCTGGTCAAGAAGGCTCACCAGCGCCTCTTCTTCTTGAGGACTCTGAGGAAGAACCACCTGTCCTCAGACATCCTGGTGAACTTCTATCGCTGCACCATCGAGAGCATCCTGACCA